AATGGAGAGGAAGACCCAGGTGTCTCCAAGCTCTCTGCCCACTCGGAGATTCTCTGCACCTAAAACAGAGACCACAAGGCCCACTTCTTTATGCATCAGCCCAGCCACGACAGCCAGGACCCTTACGGAGGCAGCTGCCTCAGAGGGAGGAATTGGCCCTCAGCCTCGCACACCCACTTCCTCAGGGGCTGCACAGACACACAGAGCCATCTTCATATTCCAGCCAGAGTCCATCAATCCATCCAGAGTCCAGAGAGTGTCCCCCATCTTCTGACAGATGGGGAGCTTCAAGTTTAGGCTGCAGCCAAAGTTTCCACAGGAACCTAGCAACCACCCCTGTTCTGGAAACTTCCAGGCTTCCTTGGATCATGCCAGATTTCTTTTTGCCCTCTTCAAGTGAGCAGTGGCCAGCATTTGCAAAGTCAACTAGCGTGCCTGTGCTCTGGGACTCAAGGGCACCCTGCCCAGTTTCACCTGCCTTCCAGGGTCCAGCCTGTCAGGGCACCAGCACCCCAGACAAAGGGCTCTATTAATATCATTTGAACTTAATTGCCTAAAACATGATATATGCAGAGGGATACAAGAGAACCTGACTATTCCTCAAAAGTATAAACTGTTTTTCAAAATTATCTTCAATTCTCCAACACTCCCTACCAATCAGATGTGCATTGTCACGGAATTCAAACTGGAACCTCTGGGGCTTCCCTCCTTTTCTAGTGTCCCTCCCACCGTGTCTCGGGTTCTGACCAAATGGCTGGAGTCCACAAGCCTGTTTCTGACCCTGGGCAAGGACACAGTTTCAAGAAAAGGGACTACAAGAGCCTTGGATATCTGAGATAGCTGGCTGAGTGGAAGTGGGCACAGCCCTCGTCTTTGTGTGTTTCTATTAATCAGCTCCCACGCCACCTGAGAATGGTTGCACAACCCCACCTCTCCAGGCCGCACTGAGGTGCTAGAGATGGGGAACAGCTCCACAGCTAATGAAGGAAAGGGCCCTCTCTGCAGCGCAAGGGGGAGGACGTGCATCAGCTCTGCTGGCAGCTCAGGCAGACTTAATTGCCTGTCCCCTAGCCCAGCCCCTTGCAGCTCTCCTCCTTCACCCTACTCCCAACCCCCTCTCTCTCTGCAAGAAGCTAAATGGGCCTCTGCTGCATGCCCCGGAGGCCCCACGGGAGTGAGGTTCCTCCACTGAGTCATGTGTCACAGGTCTCCCGTCTGCCTTCTGTAAACAGAGGCAAAGGTGTTGGCTCCTCACCAGCCTGTCAGAGCCGCCCAGCGCACCTACTGCAGCAGCTCCCCACTTGACCCTTGCTCTGAGGTGTGACCCCAGCTTTGCACTCGGATTCTAATTTAGGAACCCTCCTCCTTGCCTGGGTCCAGGGAGCCTTGTGCCTGGCATACAGGTCTGACTCGAGCAGATTAACCTTGAAGCTCTGGCTACTGAGCCTGGTGGTGCTGGCGGACTCTGTTACCAGCAGTTCTAGCCCCTGGCATCCAGCTCTGGCTCCCTGGTTCCAGCTCTTGGCAGTGTTCCTTGTGGCTGACCTTTCCAGAATCTGTCTCTGCACCCTTCCTTCTCTTGGTGATCAGCCTTGAGCCTTGAGGCTTCTGTCCCCTTTGAATCCAGAAGGAGACTGTCCTTGGCCTGACACCCCATGACTCTGAGGCCCCAGTCTCTCATTGGAATTGACATTCATTGAGTGGCTTCCACATGCCAGACATTGTGTTGAGGACTTTAACCCTCAAGACAACTCTAAGACTTTGCCAGTTCCTGGCCAGGCTGTCTTGAGCTTCAGTGGCAGAGGCATGGCGTGCTTTCCCAAGGAATAGTAGACTGGGAGTTAGAAAGCTGAGTTCCACATCTCATGACTTTGACCTGCACATTGCTCAATTTCCATTTTTAAAGTGGGTCCCCCAAAAACCCCTCCTTAAAAAAGCCTGTAGGAACCCAATGTAAGAGGATTTTTAAAGGAAGGAAACTTTTGGGTTCCCTCGGAATTCCAGACTCTCAGGATGTCCCCACCCCTCTAACTCAGTTTCTCCCTCTAGGTTGTCCAAATGAAGAGATAAGCACAGGAAAATGTGCCCTATTCTTCACTGACTTGTTCATATATTGTTCCATTTATCTTCATTCCATCCATGCATGCACCCATTCATAAACTCCTTTCATCTTTTGAAGGGGTTAATTCACTCAAAAATTCACTCATTCACACACCTATACATCCATTTACTCCATCCACCCACTCATCTACCCACCAACCTATTTATCTGTCTACTCATCCATCTATCCATTCACCCATTCATCTATTCTCCCATCCATTCATCAAACCACACACATATCCATTCATGCATTCATTGACTCAGTCACAAATTTCACCCATCCTTCCATCCATTCCCACCTATATTCATTCACTCACACACCCACCCACCACCTACTCACTCATCCATCTATTTATCCACTTATCCATCTGTCTACTCACCCACCCATTTATTTATCTACCCAGTCATTTCTCTATTGACCCATTCATCTGCTTATCCTCTCATTCATCCATCAAATCACATATCTATTCATTCCTCTACTTATAAATTTATTTGTAAATTCCATCCATCCTTCTATCCACCTTTCCATGCAATTGCTCTCCCATTTACCTTCCTGCAAATTTATCTATCAACTCACCCATCCATCCATCCATTCATCAATCTATCTACCATCCATTAATCTTTCTAGCCTTCTACCCATTTTTCTCTTGATTATTTTGACCACCCACTATATTCTACACCCTAGATTATGTGCTAAAGATAAAGAGATGAGTAAATCACAAATTCTGCCTTTCAAGAGGTCAAATTATAATGCATAAGACAGTGACACAAAAATAGGCAATGGCAATAGGATTTGATGAAGAATGGCTGAGTGGGAAGCATGAAAACATGTGGGATTTAGAAGGGCCTCTGTGGGGGATTAGAGAAGACTTCTGCCAGGAACTGACATCTGACCTGGGTGTCAATAGGTGATTAGGAGTTCACTAGGTGAACAGGTGAAGTCAGTGCTCAGCAGAGGCAACTGCATGCAGAAAGCATAAAATTCTAAGAGAAAACAAAGCTCTACAATGGTGACTCTCAACATGGAGTGGTTTTGCCCTTCAGGAGACATTTGGCAATATCTGGAGACATTTTTGGTTGTCACAACTTGGGGGTGCCACCAGCATCCCATGAGTAGAGGCTAGGGATGCTGCTAAACAGCCTACAATTCACAGGACAGTCTCCACTCCAAAATGTCAATAGTGCCAATGTTGAGAAACTGAGAAACCTGCTCTAGAAAGATGGCAGGAAGTTTCAGGATTGTTGGAGTAAAGAAAGGAGGAAGCAATGAGAGAAAGTCCCAGAGAGGCAGACAGGAGCTAGATCAGAGACTGCAAACCACATTTATTGAATGCTTAAGCACTGGGAACTCAGAGATACAATCGGATTCAGTCGCTGTTCTCCAGAGCTTTGAACTTTCACTGAAGAAATGGTCCATGTCCACAAAGGGTGTGGAACCTCTAATAATTGAGATCCTACTATGTGCCAATCACAGTATTAGAATTTTTTTTTTTTTTTTTGAAACAGGATCTTACTCCGTCGCTCAGACTGGAGTGCAGTGGCACAATCTCTGCTCACTGCAGCCTTGATCTTCTGGGTTCAAGAAATCCTCCTGCCTCAGCCTCCCAAGTAGCTGGGACTACAGCCACATGCCACCAGCAAACTTAGACTGGCTAAGCTTTTGTATGTTTTGTAGAGACAGAGTTTTGCCATGTCTCTCAGGATGATCTCAAACTCCTGAGCGCAAGCGATCCACCCACTTTTGTCTCCCAAAGTGCTAGGATTACAGGTGTGAGCCACTAAAATTTCATGGACTTTTTTATACAATAATTCTATGAGGTAGGTTCCATTTTCCAGGTGAGAAAGCTGAGGCTCAGAAAAGTTTTCAAAAGCCTGGTTCTATGTCACACAGTGAGTAAGTGGTAATGCACACTGCCCAGACTGACAGTTCGAGGTGGCAGACTTGGCAAATTAATAGCAGAGACCTTGATAGAGGGGGAAGTCCACAGAGACCTCATGGGAAGAGCAGAATGTGGCCTGGAATGAAGAAAAGGGATGAGATAGGCGAGAGGGACAGGGCGGCAGGAGGATGGTCAGTAAATGCACAGGTGAGCAAGAATGGGGCAGGTTCTGGAAACCCTAGGCAGCCGGGGAATTGGAGGATGCACGAGAAGAGAAAAGGGTCCTTTTGGGAGCTCACTGCAGGGCCCTGCAGGTCTAGGTATTCACTCAAGGCCATGGGAACAGAAAGAAGGCCAAGGCAGAGGCATTAGAAAGACTTCAGCAGTAACCTCTGAGGAATGCAGGGAGAGAGAGAGGAGGAGTTGGGGAAAATGTTATGTTTCGAACCTGAGTTTTACCAAGAAATCTCTGTTCCTGGCCCTTCTACATGTAGAAGCTGCCTCTCCCTTCCCCCATCGGTTCCCAGGAGGACGGGGCAGCTCACTCAGATGGCAACGGAGACTCTGCTGTAGTAGCCTGCCCTGGCCAGTCTTGGAAGGACAGAGCTGTTGTCTTTTGGGGCATTACATTCACCTCTGTTAAGAGAGCTGCATCCCCTCCCTGGATTCCTTCTGATTCACCAAATTCATCTCACACACATGCACACACATGCACACACATACACAGACATGCATGCACATGCAGAGACATGCATGCACACACAAGCACATACATGCAGACATGCACACACATGCATGCACATGCACAGACATGCCCAAACATGCACCCACACATACACAGACCTGCGCACACATGCACGCACGTGCACACACATGCACATGGACACACATGCACACACATGAGCACACATGCACATGCATGCACAAATGCCAGATCTGAGGGTTTCATGGACACTTCTCATCAGATGAGAGAGACAGTCTGCTGGGGAAAAAAAATATTTGCTGACCCTTCTGCTCTGAGCTGCATTCGGGGTGAGAGGCTCAAAGAGAATCAATTTCATCCAAGAAATCTGAAAAGAGAGAGAAAAGGGGAGGAGCCAGCTTCAGCAGTAGCCAGAGAGACAAGGTAAGGAAGCCATAGTTCAGGACAGGGAAAATCTTTACAAATTAAATTTCTGGCTGTAGTGGAGAGGACCTAGGGCTGCAAGAGAGGCCTTACCTCTCTGGAGGAGCCCAGTGCTCTAGGGTCAAATAGCCACCCCGGCCTCCTAGGGAGACATGTAAAAAGAACAAGAGAAACCTGCCCCAGGAGAGCAGTGGCTCCCTGACAGCCTGGTCCACCCACTGGTATCTTGAGTCCCCATTTCTCCTTCATTCTTTAGCATCTCAGCTCTCCTCCTGGGAGGGAGAGGGTATGGGGAAGTACAGAGACTGTGCCTCCCGAGTGAGGTCTTAGAGTTGGGGACAATCCAGGCAAGGGGAGGGGTCACATAAGGCTGAAACAAGGGTGTTACCTTCCACCTGTAGAGACTCCAAGGAAGAGGCAGCTAAGGCCCTGGATCCAAAAGGAACCTTTAAAAGCTAGTCAACGGAGTTCTCTTTCTCTCTGGATCTGGCTGGCCCCTCCCTTTCACGCCTTGCTTGAAGGACACCTGAGTGGGTCATGTTTGGCTGTGCTGTGAGGTCATCGTCAGTGCTACATCCACAGAGGAGCATCCTGGGGAAGGGAGGGCCCCACAGCAGATGGTGTGGGAAACAGGGTGTGTGTGTGTGCGTGTGCATGCACGTGCATGTACCCAGGATGTTGGGTAGCAAGAGTCAACCTCAGCTCACCTCTTGGGGGCAAAGACAGGCTACCTAGCTATCAGCCTTCTCTGGCTGTGGGCTGATGGATCACACACCATCATCTTCACCTGGCCTGGGTTTGAAGAATGAGACTGCAAAGGCTTATGGGAAGAGTCCTGAGGACATAAACTCAGGGAGTTCCAGGAAACCAGCCCCTCTTGTCAGCAAAGCAAAGACTCACCCTGACGTGAGGGGGCAGAACTGCTCACCCTGCCCCACACCTACTGGCAAGGCTTGTCCAGTCCAGACTCTGGGCCAGGTGCATCAGAGTATCCAACAGCATTGGCAGCAATAGAAACACTTCCAAAATCATGGCTCACTGTGTGTTACCATCAGGGTCCCCCGCTCTCTTTGCCAAGGATTTTTATATGCATTGCTTGCATCTCATCCACTGGAACTGTTTTATGAGTGCAGCGGAGTGCCTAGAACAGCACCTTGCAGGTACTAGGCATGCAGTAAATATTTAGTGAAGGAATCAACGTTTGCTTGATTTCATCCTCACAACAGCCCTGAAAGGAAGGCAATTCTATCAATGCAATTTGTCGATGAGAAAGCTAAGGCTTACAGAAGCTGAGTGACTCACACCAGTCATTTAACTTGTGAGAGGTGGAGCCAGAGCATGAATCCATGTCCACCTCACTCCAGAGCTCATGGCCATCCTCTTCCAAACATGATTGGATCTTGCCTCATCATCAAAGAAGCATCACCTTACACTTGGGAGTGGTAACAGTTCAACAGGATACCATTGAATTCTAAACAGTGAATTACTGTGGCCAGAACCAGCCAAAGGAGGGAGGTCTTGTGGGAACTGGAAAAGAAGAAGAAGAATCAGTGTGGGTGGCTTCAAAGAGCCCCAAGGCCTTCTCTGTCCAGGGATGGTAGGCATGTGCCCCACCATGGAGGAATACCCTTCTTCAAGAGCCACAGAAGGTGGCATAAGGACACAAGGACACAAGACACCATAGGACAAGAAATCTCCTTCCAACTGGATCTTGGAAGCACATGCCACCAGCATGGACATGGAGCCACTTCAAATGATGGAAGGATCCCCTGTACCTTGACACTGGCAAGGCAGGGGCTCACCTATGTGCATTCTGATCTGGAGACCCTCATCTGGCCCCACCCCACCCCCGCCCAGATCCTTCGCGGCAAATCAGCCACCGCCACTCTGGGGCTCCTGGAGAGTTTAGCTGTCATGAGCAGGTTTCTTCAGGGCCTGATGCGCTCAATGACCTCTAGTTCACCTGGGTGGGACCCGGTGCTGCCACCCAGAGCAGCACCCCTGAGGCCCAGCCACCTACACCTGTGATATTCACCTCCACCCAAACACCTTCCACCTCTGGCCCTCTGTACCCCCACAGCACATTCTCTTCTGTCCCAGTGGGCTCATCCCAGCCCCTCCAGCACTGGGGCCCAAGCAAAACTCCCGGTCCCCCCGCCTCGAGACCAGAGCTGCTAAAACCACTGCAGAGGGGTCAGGCTTTCTCGGCCATGGGGAGCTCATTATTTTAGAATGTGCCCACACCTCTGGGAAGTGTCAGGGCACAAAACAGGGTGAAAATAACAAACCAACACCACCCAGCAGCAAATCCCACACATCACAATAGGGACCTGACAAATGAAGAAAATAACTTGGAAGGGGGAAAAAGAGTTTGAGGCTCTGAATCTTGGCAGGGTGAGGAAGGTGAGATTGAAGGCTCCCAAAGGTGAGTTCCCCTAAACTAGGGCACTGTCCCTGTGGTCCTGCGCTTCACCCCTATCCCTGTGTAGGGTGGTGGTGGGCTGGGACAGGCCAGTGCAGTCACAGGGCAGACGATGGAAGTCCTATCGCGAGGGAGGGTCAGTTACCAGCCACACTAAATCATCTGAACTGAGGTCGCCAACCCCAGGATTGGAGAGAGGGCAGAAGTCAAGGAGAAAAGCCAAAATGGACCCAGACACCAGGGGAGACACTGAAGGCAGTGGGTCAGGGCAGGAGAAGCTGGGAGACAGGAGCTTAGAGAGTTCCTAAGCGCTGGGCAGCTTCTCATGCCCTTCTCACACCTGTCACAATGGGCTTGGAAAGGTATGCCTCTTGTCACCGCCCGACTGGTCTCTGCTTCCTGTTCTGGTCACTGTACCCACTTCCTCTCCAGGGACCAATTCCTCCCTCATGCTCCACCCATGGTTGGGGATGGCACTGGCTTCACACCCTGGCTTCAGGTGTGCAAGTGTCCCAGGTCTGGCCAATTAGAGTATTCCACTCGTGACCCCTGGCCATTCCGATAGCTCATGCATGAACTGGAAAGTAAATCCTGTTGAGAAAAAGAAAACTTGAGACGTACTGCCAGATGGAGGCATGACATAAGCCTCTTGCTGCCAACGGTCACCATGTGGAGAGGGCCTGCCAGAGAGAGAGGAAGACGAATGGAAAACAAACTATGGAGTAAGCAAGCAAGATAAAGAAAGAAAGCAGACAGCATTATTTGAGCCCCTAGAGCCAGCTGTACCTGACATTTCAGTTACACAGTGAACTGGTAAGTTTCAGTTACACACTGAATTGATAAGTTTTATTTGAGTTTAAGCCACTTTGGATTTGGTTTCTGTCACTTGCAACCAAAAGGGTCTAGATCCATCCAGATGCTTTAGGTCCATGAAAGGGGCCAACACAGGATGTCATCTCTGGCCAAGGCCAACTAGGTTCCTTATTTAGGAAGCAGAGACAATGCTGGCCTGGCAGAAGCTTTCCCGGATTATACTTCGGGGTGATGCTCCAGGGTATCCTGCAGGAGGGAATCCTGCAAAGGGGGCAGTGGACCAGGCTGCTGGGAGAGGGGTGGGTTTCACTGCATCACGGCCTTGCCTCCTTGTGGCCAGGGAGACACACTTGATGGAAGCCTGTACCTCACACCAAGGATAGAGACACAAAACTCACGTAGCTCTCTGGTGTCGAGCATCACATGGTGCCAGTGGCCTCTCCCTTTGTGACGCCCACCTGGGACACTAGGGTGGGACATGCATGCCAACCTCATCCCACTTTGTGCCACTGTGGCTTTGTGCCTGGCTTCTCGTCCCACGAAGTTGTGATCTCTTCATTGTCTGCTTCATAGAATGGAATTTGTGACAAAGTTTTGTTTTGTTTTTCTTGAAGAGAAGAAGTCCACTGCTGCTTTTCACATTTAAGAACAGGCAGCCTAAAAGTCCATTGATGACCATGGTGAGTCTGTCACGGTGAGACAGGGGGCTGACCTGTGCACCTGTTCAAGGGCATGCCTCAATCTTACCAACTGGGCTTCTTGACCTTGTGGCCCTCTTGTAGACAACATAGCTTTTTTCTTTAGTTATGGTAGAATACACTTAATGTAAAATTTACCATTTTAATCATTTTTAAGTGTACAGATCAGTGGTACGAAGTACATTCACATGGTTGTGCAATCATCACCAGCATCCATCTCTAGAACTTTTTCCTCTTCCCAAAACACTCTGTCTCCATTCAGCAATAACTCCCCATCCCCTGCTCTCCCCAGACCCTGGAAGCCATCATTCTACTTTCTGTCTCTGTGATTCTGACTCCTCTAGGTACCTCATATAAAAAGAAACATAAATATCTGGACTTTTTTGATTGTTTTATTTCACTCAAGGTCTTCAAGGTTCACCTATGCAGCACAGCTTTTGAGACATTTTGTTGTCATACCTACTAACTGGTGCTTCAGCTCTTTACTGAGATGGCCAACTAGTCTGCTTCATTTCACACCTAGGAAGGTGAAGTTCAGAGAAGGGAATCTGTGTTTTTAAGTATAGGCCTCACACGCTATCAGCAGACTTACATTAATACTGCAAGCACTGAGCTACTCATTCCTCGTACATCTGGTACTCTTCCCTCTTGTACTCCTTTTCTGACAAGTAACAGGAAAACTTTCCAAGAAAGAGGAGATGGACACAGGACCCAAAGAATAATTTGGTTATCTATTAATTTGCTTCTCTCTCCTCACATTTTCAACCAATCTCATAAATTTGGAGAATAGTGATTTTAGGAGAAGGTTTCATCAGGGTAAGTGTGTGACGCCTTGCCCAGGCTCAAAAGATACAACCTTATTTGAGTGAATTCATGTGGCCTTACAAAGAATTGAGCTTTCATTTCGAAGACTCCCACCAAAAAAAATTAAAAATTAAAAAAAAGTGATGCAGGTGTACCCTGGCCACACTCACACATAAACTCCATTAGAGGGCACTGGATCTTGCTTCT